GGTCCAGGTGGACCAGAAGGCCCAGGCAAACCACGCCCTGTCTTTCCGCTTTCTCCGGGTCGTCCAGGTGGGCCAGGTGGGCCTGCCTCTCCTGGTGCACCAGCATCTCCCGGTGGACCAGGTGGGCCAGGTTTTGAGACTGCAGCCATGTAAGCTCCAGGTGGCCCATCTTTTCCAGGTGGGCCAGCAATGCCTTCACCGCCGGGCGGTCCTGGTGGTCCTGGTGGTCCCGCCGGACATTGGATACATCCACCAGGTCTAGAAGTTGTAATGGATTTTCCTGGTGTGCCTGGTCTGCCATCTACTCCTGGGGGTCCATCATCTCCAGGAGATCCCCCTTCTCCTGGTGGGCCTGGAGGCCCTGCAGGGCAATTTCGTGCCCTTTCTTCACAGTTGCATTCTGCGCCATATGCTCGTTTGGATCTTTCAAGAAGTTTCTGAATCCCATGATAGCTTTGCTGATCGCTGTGGAGCATGTTTTCCCATGCGTCATCGGCGTAGAACTGAAATATGGGGGTTAATGTGAGCTTATTTCTGATATAGAGTAAAGAGTGACATTGCTCTAGGAAAACGTTGGATTCATACCTTGAATTCACCGAGTTCCTTCAGAGTGATGTCATAAAATCGGTTGATATCAGCGAATATATAACCGACGATGACGACAGTACTGACTGTGACCAGAGAAGTGCCGGCAAGCACAAAGGTAGCCACTCGTTCGGACGGTAGCATTTCAAGTGCGACAATTAGTATTGCGGTCGGACTTATATATGATTGGGGCGGCCCTATATGCAACCTTTTCTCCTCTGTTGGTCTTGTTTTATAATGGTGGGCTTGCGTAAACGATTAGTGCCTTCCGTCAGTTCGGCTAGTTTTCAAGCGCTAAGGGGCGGCGCATGGTCTTTCATAATGGAAAAGTGAAAGGAGCGCGTTCACGGTGCAGCTGACCTCTGAAGAAGCTGGGCATATTCGGTGCGGAAAAGTAGCGATCAGCACGGCTCTATAATGCTCATGTGGAAGGACCCTTCAAAGTCTCACTTTCCAAGTGCGGTCAGAATTCCAACTATCTGAAAATTGATTTCCAGGGATATTTTGGTGCCTCTGAACATGATTATCGTATTCACTCGGCATGAAACCTTGCGCCCGTGCCACTTGTGCCGGCTCTGATATGTCCCAACTCACCGAAATCTTCCGCCCGTGTCATGAGCGCCAGCTTTAGTGTATCCCAACTCATCAGATTCGTTGGAAACTTGCCTTCAGATGTATTTCGCCCCCATGAACACGTATATCATCCTGCTTGAGATGTGGGAGTTAGGGACGGGGAAAAAGCGGCACGCTTGGCAGCACAGCTTGCTTATTCCCTTCTTTCCCTTCCACTGCTAAGGTTTTTTTTCGTGCCAAGAAGTGTGCTAGCCCAGTGGATCAGGCTACCCCTGAGAGCAAGTTTCTGTCAGATCTCTCATTGGAGGGAAAAAAGTCGGTCGAATGCTGTTGATTCGGATGGTTGTGACAGTAAAGGGTGAACTGCGCCACAAACGCCAGTTTGGACGAGTTATTTTGGTACTGTTGGCAGCACGAGGGTGTTTAGGGCTCAATATCTACTGAACACTAAACAGACTTGAACACGGGCCTCAACGCTTGTTCCTTCTCGATAATCCTGCGAACCCTCAACGTAATCAAACCGCTGGTCGTGTTTCGTCTTCCCGTTAGAACAGAGCGGAGGATGCGCCGTGCGCGTTTCGACAACTAGTGTGGCGTTTATCAGCTCTGACTGTGTTTCCCTTCCCAGTTCTAATTGTGGAGCTTCAGAGAGCGAAGGAATCTGTGGTAGTCTGAAGAATGCCATCTCTTTCAGTGTCATTCAGATTGTTCGGTGGACTTTTTAAATGGAGGCCTAACTATCGGCCATATCGCCGTGCTCAGAGACGTGAGCGGGCTGATTCAAAGTATGGAATGCTGAATAAGAGGATGAAAAATCGAAGGATAAGGCTTACGAAAGCTGATTTTTGCCCTGTTGGGATGCACGTCCGAGCAGCGCTGTGAATACGACTGACCGTCACAATGGTTCGCGGGGCGTAATGGGACCACTGTACGATTCAGTCTAAGTCGTCCCGGACAATTAAGTTTAAGTTGATTGTCCCGGAGAGCAAACTGCTTCTCAGGGCGTGTTGTACATTGGGGAAATCCCGACGAGGGGTCGTATTTGATCGCTCGAGAGGAGTATTTGGCTCTGAAAATTGCATCATCCAGGGGCAAATCCTTGCGTGTGTTAATTTTCCCGTTTAATACGTGCTATACAGGGGAGGTAGCAAAAAAAAAGATACTTTTCTTCCTCGACTTTCAAGGCGCTATAAGTTACACTTTATTGAATTCTGATTGGACATTTTCACCATCAAATTCAACAACACATTGTACACTATCACGAACTCCGCCACAGCCTTCTGACGCCATCGAGAGATTCTGCCACCGTGATTCGGTGCCTGAGTTCAGCAAGTCTTTGGTTTTTTTGCCAGCATAGACCACCCTGTTGAGCTCCTCCCGGACACGGTAATCAAGGGGATTTAGGCCAGGTGACACACATGCATTCCGTCTTCTTCAGATGCCTAGTGCCCCTTCATTCCAAGTAGGCGAGAGTTTTCCCCAATGTCCTTTGTGTGGTGGCACCCAGTCCTTAGCTGTAGAAAGTTTCCAAGATGGTACAGGCGATGACATGAAGGCAGGATATTCTCCTCGAGTTGGTCGATGTAACCGTCAGCGTTCACTTTCAGTCCGGGGTCCACGAAGAAAATATCGGTCTTCCCATTCCAGGAACTTCCGGTCCATACCATCAACCCGCGCCTTGGCGACTGCGGTGAAGATGATGTAGCGACGTTGTCGGAGCTGCTCGATGTTGGAGGTCTTCCAGATCGAGAGTACTGGTCTCCAGGTAGCTATCCATGGGTGACTCCATACAGAAGTTTCGCAGCTGTTTGGAGGTGACATGAGCTCCAAAGGCAACTTCATATTTTGGTGTATATGAAGGTGGACGAGAGCCTGCTCCTGCTTATCGAACATCTTGGGTATCTTCCGCCCTGGTACTCGTATCCACGTCTTCTCTCTGGGCTGCGTAAAACTTTACTGATATGTGACTCGGCCAAAGTGTCTTTTTTGGCTCCCCTGTATATTCCCAGTTTTAGCCCGGCGATGCCAATTGAGACCTCACTCATTTCTTTTTCTGATGGGTGGTTGGAGGCGGCAAAGTTCAGGGAAAACTGGGCAACGTGGTTGGATAGGCAAGTGGGGTCAAGGAGGAAACTGAGGGTCCGCAAAAAATGTCCTCAATGCCGGACGTGCCTTCTACACGGTTCATTTTATTTTTATTTCAATTGCTGCTCCCTAGGTGCGCTGTGACATAGAGCCTGTTGGCTTAATGGCTTTCATACAGTAGCTTTACATCACTCACTCACCTTATGGAACTGGCCATCCCTTCAGGGCCATAAACTGGTAACAGGTTCGTCTGGAGGTCAGTAACTAAGGCCTGGCTTAGGAAGACGGCATCTGAATTAACCGTCCGCAACCCGTTTTGATTTGAGCACCCTACATTATACTTGCATTTTAACATTACTATTCTAGAAGCGGGGTAAAAGGACGGGGATTCCGGCAACGGTCATCGTTCCAGAACCCGCCACGCATTCTACTCCTGTTTGGATCGTAGTGGCTTAGAAATACGATTCCTAATCCTTTTGGGGCCACCCTCAGCTTGGTAACAGATTTGTCTGGGAGGATAAAAACATCGACTTATGCACAGACTGCTCCACGGAAATGATCGTTTATGTGAGATCTTGTTCGAAGTGTTCCCTAGTGGGAGCAGAAACGGGATGAATTGCCTGGAGGAGTAGAACACGCTGGAAAGGTCATCCTTTGATCCTATTCCTTTTTTATTCTTCGGTTTAGGATGGGATGTGAAGGTATTACGTTGGTTCCATCGTTTACT